ACTACGGCATGCACGACAATGAGTACCCCCCCCCCCCCCTACGCCGGAAATCTTTGCGTAGAGTATCCTGCAATAGTAGTGGATCAACCTCAGCCCGACAAACGTTTGTAGGCGCAAGGAGATGAGGATCCGCGCAAATGTCACTCGGTTCCCACCCTCCTTGACCTTGGTCTATCTGGAACTTTTAGTCTTTGCCGAAACATCCACAAAATCCGTATTTTTCGTGATGGAAGGTTTCGAAGCCCGTTCACAAAGTCCCAACTTTACTCTACCAAGCTCTTGACCACAGAACTCGTTTCTTGAGGTCTGAACACGTACGGAAGACAAGGAAGTCGGGTAAAGGTTCAGTATGTGCTACATGAGGTAAAGACAACCGGAACAACAAGCGAGAACAACAAGCCCCGCACCGCTTGTATGCTACGTGTGTATCACACCTGGTAAATCCACTGGAAGTGTTCCGGCAACAACGGAGATCCGGTCGACAGGATCGTGCGAAGCTTCTTGAGACCGTCGCTCCCGGATGCCGCGCAGTCAACCCCAGGAACAACGCCGTTTTGCTTGCACGCGCCGAAGTACCTTCGGCGGGTGGCAAGGAGGCCAACGCGATGAAGAATCCGGACCAAGAACGACATGGGCAAGGAAGAAAGACGCAAATATTCCCTCTCGAAAAGAAGGGGGCACACCTCAAACTGATATTGCCGGATAGTTCTTGTGAGAGTCGAAACATACCACGGCGCGGTAGGCAAGACGTATCACACAAAACCAGACAATCTGCTCCGTACATTGGCGTCTAGGAGCAACGACGAATGGGGCCATATCACCACATGGTCCGAAGCGTAGTATTGAACATCCATACCGTCTGCTAACGATGGGTTGTGTTTAACACTCCGACGGACAAAACCGCATGCCTCATACCTATCCAGACAACCATGAGACAGATACCAGAAGAGTGATCCGCATCCCATCACCCCCGCCACCTCCCGTCTTGGTCTACACCCTCTCGAAAATCGCTGCGGGTGAACAAAACTGTGTATCCGTCTTACTTTGGGCTAGCCCCCAGGTGAGTCACGCCTTCTTCGGCGGCAACCTTCCACAATGCCGCGAGGTCCGGGTGCCCGGGGCTCCCATCGAACGACACGAGCGAAGCCCCCTCGATTGATAGGACGGCAGCCGCCCAGTTCCACATCATCTGTGAATACGCGAAGACGAGCGACGACGTCAACACAGAGGAAGCAATACATGCAATATTTACCAGAGACATCACTAAGCCAGAAAATACTTAGAAAGCTAGTTTACGTGATACTACTTTGTTGAAGTGTGAAAGCAGAACGGTTAGCGGCAAAACACCTGTAGTACGTGTACGTTGTAGCAGCATGTGGTGCATGGCAAACACGCTTGGAGCACGTCAAAGCTGCGGTCGCCAACTAGTGTTGCTCGGCGACGTTGGTGCAGCTGCCTGTGGTCGCGGCCGTTCGCTACTGATAAAGCACACGTGATTTACATTGTCACCCCAACACCTCAAGCAGCTGGAAACCCTCATTCCGCGTGTAGAAGTCGTGCTCAAATTGTTCTATTTTGGAGAAGACGGTGCGACCTTCGCATTTTGGAAGTTGAGACGAGACAACAAGCGTCAGACACCGAACAACCCAACTGCAGTCGCCGCGCACGACGGCCGACATTCCGTCTGTAACGCCAAGCGAAGAACGAGGGGAACGCCGCCGAAATAAACACAAAACAAAACCAAGTGCTACTATGCCGATATCAAAACCAATATGGTGCACACACGATTGGAGTGAGCTCGTCAAAGCAGCGAACCCGCACCAAACAGCAACAACCTCCGTCTCCATACTTACCCAACCCAGCGTAGAGAAGAAAAGGAGCCGATCGCCGCGCTGGATGTCACAGTGCAGCTCCAGTTCCTTCTTCTGTTGGAGAAGTGTGCCTGCCCGATGGAGCGCGTACACCCCCGCGGGGGGACGAGCGCCGATGGGTCGGGAATTTGTAGGTCGATCAGATGACAAAAAGAATGGCGCATTTTACCGGCGCACGCTATTTACGACGTCAACAGCGTCAGCTCGTTCCAAGCACCGGAATGAGTGCCGGATGGTCGTAAGCAGAGGGAGCGACGTGTGGGGGAAGGGAGAGAAGAAGGGGGGGACTAAAACGGCCAAGCTGCCATACACAAGCCCAGCAGCAGACAACCTCGTAGTTGCAAACACAGGCCGTGGAACTCAGGCGGCTAGGTTCGCCTCAGGAAGAACCAACCCGCACACGCACGAGCGACCGTTTTTGTGTGGGCATCTCGACAATTACGGCCGATACAAACAAACGACACCAACCCGCTTACCCCCAACCCCGTGCACCATGCACTTGGGCAGCCCAGTGGTACCCGACGAAAACATGATGAACACCGGGTGGTCGAAAGCGGTGGGCTCAAACTCGATCTCGGTCGCACTGCCGCTGAGAAACTCTTCGAACGGCACGAGAGGCGCCGGGAGATCAGAGACGGACAGAGGGTCCGGATAGCTTCTGCTGTCACCGCCGACGTCGGTACGGTTGACGCTGACGCCTCCTTCATCGTCCAAGGTGGTCCAGTACGGCACACCTACTCCCAAGGGACGCCCTTGCTCAGTAACTGGAAATGGGGAAAGGCAGCGGTCCTTCGCTGGTTGGTGGAAAGGTTCAACTGCTGCTATCGTTCGGGTGGGTCCTACTTACTACATTCGGTCTGGGAAGGCTGCAGCAGGTATCTATCTCTTGGCTGCGTGAGGCTATATGGTGGGATATTCACAAGTCGTGTAGCAGACAAGCTGCTCTTGTTGATCAGGTCTGGTTGCGGCATAAGCGAGGTCAAGTTTCATCTACTACTGTAGTGCTGTTCATGTATACGTTGAATGAGCCATCTAAGGCAGAATATTTGTCGGGAACGTGCGTTTCGCCTGAACGTGGGGTAAGAGAAGTGGCGCTGATTCGACACCGCCGCGGCCTTCTACAAATAGGGATTCGAGACGCCTCTACGAGAAGGGGCAGGCACGTCGGCAACGAACGGAAGCCACATCATGGCTCCCCAAGCAGTTCCGATCATGGCAGACAAACACGATGCAAGCTGCGTGCTAGAATGCCCACGCACAGACACACTACGTCCACCCATTTCACCTCCTTCAAGACACGACAGGTAGACACACAACGCGAAGAAACCTTTGTCGCCTTTGGGCTCAAAACATGTGACACAGATACATAACAAACGGTGAAAAGGGCACTGCATCACACCGGGCAGTCGCGACAGCACGTCCTTGGCCAGGCCCCGGCAGTCGTGCCACCGCCCGCCGTACAAGTAGCCGAGGCTGAAGAACACCAGCTTCGGCGAGATCTGGCCTAGGCGGTCGGACACCCCGCCCACCCCGAAGTCTGGGGAACAGGAGCTTGGAGCCAAGTTGGGCGAAAAATGAAACGAGAGAGAGAGCGGGGCGATGGGTTGGGAGGTGGTAAGGACAGCAACGTTCTCACGACGGACAATCTAGACAACAGGATGGCATGTTTTGGCAAGGTCCGGTGTGGGGAACGCGGAGCCCTTCCCCGCCCCTCCTCGCACCCGCCCACCCGACGTTGTTGTTAAGCGTGAGGTGAGGCCCCTCGCACAAAAGGCAAACACATCCGATGCAAGTATGCGCGCACGCATGCACGCGCACACTCACACACGCACGAACACGCCTGGCTTGGCGAGACAACAACCAGTGAACGACACGAATCAGCGTGGATGGGACGGCAGTCATACGCGGAAAACTGGTCGACATAACAAGATATGATCGTTCACACGCTGCTCGAACAGGAACAAGTACTTAGTGTCGACCTCACCTCCACACAGCTCCAATCGCCGTCACCCCCAGCATGCATACCAGAGCCTCCTGGGAGTTGACGAGCACACCCGCCACCCTGTCTCCTTTGCGAACACCGGCCGACCGCAATGCCCGCGCGCATCTGCCGAGTGGCAAAAATGCGAGAGCAGGGAGAGAGAGAGAGAGAGGGAGCACGAATGACCGAAAGATGGAAGAACAAAGCGTGTTCCCGTAGTCATGATAACTTCGCTTCGCGTGAACTACACCCAGTACTGGCTTGTCTCACCTCGCCACCAACACGTTAAGCTCTTTGCCGGTGAGCCTTCTCGACGCCAGCTCGGCTGACTCCGAAACGGACACGATGACCTGTTGCCGAAACAACGATAGACATCGAGGGCGTGCGATAAGGCTGGCATCTGACGGGGTGTCTCGGGCGCGCTCCCGCCAGCAAGTGGGATTATTCGGGTGAAAACAGCGTGCTGAAATGAATTGCCGAGATAAATGAAGACGTTAACTCGATCTCGAAAAATAAAACTGTTCTGAACCCCCAGCCTCCTCTTTGCTTATCTTTGACCTAATGATACTGGTTTTTGAGGTCACAAGCTAACTCGAAAAACGGTAGAATGCACACAAATAATAACAAAGGATGTCCACCACTGGCGAAGACAGTAAAGCTCCTTAACATAACACAACATTTGGCGAGGAAAAAACCCGCACCGAAATAAGTGGAACCCATTGTTCCACTTGAAAGCTCGGTGTTATAGGATTTGAATCGTGTAATTCCACAACATGGGTCGCAAAGAATATAGGTTACACGTGCGGCTACATAGGTCGTTTCGTGCGGAACTTGCACGAAAAAATGAGGAGCGGGGTCAAACTCTTGAGCTGGAAATAATATCATAACTTGGGCAAAAATCAACTCCACACTCTTGACATCATGAACAAAGTGTAGAATCCGGCTGCTAGCTCCTCATGACGAGGATTTTCCTTATTGAAGATGCCAGATGTGTTGCGTCTCAGAACTGGGATGCGGGAGGACCGAGTCACATCCGATGCCCATGACGATCATGTCCGAAGGCACTACGCCACCAATCACCACAATCTGAGAACAATACCTGTGAGGCTATTATATTGTGTTGGAGAGCAGGAAGCAAAAAAAAATAACACCAAACCGACACGACGGCACAGGCACACCTCATCATCTGTCGGGAGCGGCATCAGATTGTGCGCGAAGTTAAGCGTGGCACCCTCGAACCACAGGGCACCCGTCATCGCATCACCCCGCCCCTGACCCCGATCTCGCACCCCCCTTTGCCCGATCTCCTTTCCGCCCATGTCCGGCTCCGGACCAAGCGTTGGAGAAGGACGAGGAGGAGTGTACGCAGATCCGGTCCCGCGGTGGAGCCATTTAATGCCGCAGAAATCTGACACCGTCTGCCAAAACTCCCCCACCTCGGAAACGGACCATCGGTGGAGGTCAGGCCAGCTTAATTCGTGAATCGGCACGTTGCGGGACGGGGATGGAGCGCACAGGACAACGGAAATCGGGGGTTAGGTTTCGACCAAGCGCACAGAGTATTTTTTTGCGAAAAACGGTATCACAATGACGACTGATAAAGGCACCAACCCAACACAATTTGGCACACTCGAGCAGCCTGGTCAGCGGCAAGCCGAGATACAGCCGATCACACCGACCACCGGACGATCACCCATGCCCCTGCACGTGGATCGCCAGAAGTCCGTCCAGGCGCACCATGGGTTGAGGATGACACACTAATGTGCCGCTGTCGTCGAGAGGACAGCCCCGAACCGAGATATAAGTCTTGTCTGTGCATCTTGCCTGCGAAATCATGGTAACGTGCCTTTGTTTCTGCAGTACCACTCGATGAGAATGGAGCAATCCATCTACACTGCTGCGGGGATTGGGACAACGAGCCGGAATTTGTCCGCCTGCCGTTTCAGTCAAGCCTTTGTTCGTCTACCCCACCAACCGGTTTACACCGGTGCTCGTCGCATGTTGCCACCAGCAACCTCTACATCTGGTGCCGCTTCAAGATGTGACTAAATTAATTCGCACGGAGAAATGCGTGTGGTGCACAGCGGACAGCAGACATCCATATCATGCATCTTCAGCTACTGCTGTAGTTCGTGAGAGAGGTCACACGAACGCCCTCTTGGTCCTGAGACCGGTCTAAAAGTGCCTGTGGAACGTGACCATAGGTCGTGTAGGGGTGTGGGACATATCCGTCCAGCCAATCAGGTGTCGGGTGTGAGCAATCGCTCTGTAAAGCTAAGTTCGATACGCTCGCTCTGGTGGTGGCAATAACCGACGGGGAGGAGCAGTGCAGAACAAAGGCTACGCCCATTAGTTTCTACTGGCTTTTGTCGGAACTGGCTCTGGGTTCAACGATGCATTCAGGATGCTGGAGCATTTTAACGATGGCACTTGTGCTATCGTGGCAGGTAACGATGTGCTTCGAGTAGTCTAAGATGCAAAGAATCAGGGTGCACACGGACGGACTCATTCAAAGTGTTGGAAGAACCGATCCTTCGAAGCGTTCCGAGAAAACACAGATCTTCTACTTGTGTGTCCCTTGCTTGCGTGAGCGGGCAGACGGACCACTTGTGGCACCCCCCCATGCTTACTCTCTTTCTGGGCCCTCTCTCTGCGCGAATAGATCAACGGAGAAAACTTGCCCTACAACATGTGGCTACTGCACCTCATCCGGAGCTCGGAACCCTTTCCCTCTAGCAGATCCAATAACATGATTTAGTGCACGTACCGGTACAGATGCACAAGAAAGATATCTATATCCTGGCACACACAGGGTACAACATGTCCAACAGCATGGGATTAAACGCGCCCTGGCGGCTGATATCCACAAGTACTGCGGTACAAGTACCATCCGTAGGTTGGCGTCTGACTAAATGGAGCAAAAAAGATTACACGTTGTTGCCCCCAACTGCTAATACTGCTGCTGTTGTGGCATGGTTTGCCTCACAACCAGGGTATGCTGATTATATCCTTCGACCCAACTTCAAGACTAGAATATATCTTGTTTACCCCGTCGTCCCCGTCTTCACCCGACCTTCTAAGGTCTCGTCCGCTCCGCTCGCCCGCCAGCCTAGCGAACGCATCCATGCGGCTGTCCCTGATCCGCTGTTGAGACGGAGACCACATCACCTGACCGACATCCACTTGACGTTGTGATGTGGTGGTTGTCTTTGATCCTCGCCGTATGCCTATTCGAGCGAAGGAAGACCTGTTCTGAAACATGGACGAAACAGATCCCCTCATAGTTTCTTCAGGAGTGAAGGCAGGAGAGATACAGACAGAGACAGGCAGAGAGACAGGCAGACAGACACGCGCAGTAGTGTGGGACAAGGGAGTCGGCCCAGGGGATCCGCAGATAGGGAAGAACCATTTTTCGCTGGTGGGGGGGTGTACAAGTCTCATGATCCATCATGCATGACAGCTGATGCATGATGGCGCTACCGTAGATTCTCCGCGAACGCGGTTGCATCTTGCACACAAGGGGCCTGGGTAAGCATGGATAAATGTCAGGGCTGTTTGGTCTGGGTCGATCCTCTCCAAATGTGCGAACACTATGAACTTGTCCTGTGATTGCCATCTGTCTCAATCCAAGATATGCATTCATAATCTAGTCTGTTCTAGAAAGCAAAATGAACAACGATCCGGCTTTCGGAGTCCCGACTTGAACACCAGTTCCAGCGTGGAAAACGTCATTGAGGAGTGGTATGGGCGTTGGCACGAAGATCTGGTGCTGGGGCCGCGTTTTCGAAGGTTGTAGGTGCGGTCCGAAAAGCCCGCACACCTGGGTCCAAACTATACAACATGGCATTTTTTTTTTTTTCTCCCACCATTGGACTCTGTCGTCTGCCCCTCTGGCCCCTATCCTCCACTTCTACTAACTAGACGACCCAACCCGGTCACAGTATGTACACTGATGATGCTGAACCCGCCACGTCACAGACACAATCCGGTCCGTCGCTGTACGTGATACGCCCTGGAGACTTTCCTTTTGCACCGCAGCGTTGGATCGCCCGCCGACTCCATCAAGTTCCATCCCGATGACGACGCCATCGGCCGTGCAGCCTGGCTGCCTGTAGACATTTTGGCCTCGAGGACTTCAAGCCCAAGCCACTCCAGAAAACGTCGCCCAACTGGTGGACCGTCATTTCACTGCCACATTGCAGAGCTTCCAGAAGCAAAGTGCCGTGCAGCTGGAGGCCTCCCTGCGTCGTGCCACGTCTTCGTCTGACTGCCCTGCTAACGGGTCCCGGGACTCCTCTCGCTCTGGGTTTCACAGGTTCCGTTCGTGGGATAACCCAGCTTCAAGGCCGCGCAGAATCACAGCTGTTGTCTTCCCACCTGATTCTGAAGAACATGGTGGTCAAGGGCTGCTCTTCCTCGGCCCGGCACCAAGGCCACGGTCACTTGGATCGGAGTGATGGCGACCTTGGTGTCGGGCCGAGGAAGAACGGCCCCATGGTTTCTCTTTGTTGAGAACGCCCTGACGATCATATTCTTCACGATCAGGTGCGAAGTCCTGATGGGCATGTTCTTCAGCATCAGGTGCGAAGAGAGCAGCTGTGATTGGAAGCCAGCTTGAGGCTGTGTCATGCAAGAGCGAACCCTGTGTTCAACCCGGAGCGATAAAACTCTCCCAACACCTGCTACACTACACACGCCCACGATCATCGCAACCGCTGTGCTCGTTTTCCTGTTTGCCCTGACTAGTCCAGCCTACGCATTCTTCCTGATACGGTTTGGACTTCTCTTCAAGATTTAAGCAACGTGGACCGCCTCGCTCATCGCGTAATCAACTTCTGTACTTTTGTAAGGTCAAACATACACGGCGCAAAAATCACATGCTGCTGGTGCTGATGTTTCACGGGCGGGTGCCTTGGGTGTATTTTGTTTTTTTGTGCCCCCTGCAAGGTGGTATCTGCGTTTCTCGACCATATCTTGGAATAAATTCCCGTGTGCCCACGGCTGCTTCCCCAGTTGATTTTTTCTGCAAGTGCCATTCGTGTGCTTGCTGGGTACGATGACGTCACAAGAAAGGCACTACTACTATTAGGCGTCACACGAAGAAAGGTATTACTACTATAATGTTTGTAGTGAAGAGTAGTAAGCAGAAGACTCCAAAATCCCCTGTCGTGCCGTTTGTGTCGTGTAACGAGATGGCGCGTGACGGCGAGGGTGGATAAGAAGAAGGTGGTACACAATATTGTGTTGTTGGTTGGTGTTGGCGTCTTCATGTAATACCGTCTCGTTCTCTCTGCCCAGCATCTTTTTCTGTCCACTGAACTACAGTTGGGCTAACAATCGATGAACGGGGTCGATTCTCCCGTAGTCACAGTCTAAATGACCGAAAAAAAGGTATGTAGGACTAGATCGCCTTTTGGGGACACTTTTTGTCCCTATCTTCTTCACCTGCTTTACCTCGCGAAGAATGGCACGATTTTCTCCTCCTTTGAACTACTCGACCAGGGGGGTGCCAGGGTACACGGGGACGACTCTACTTTATAATGGATGCTTTGTAGAGTGGAGGAGTATGAGGGTAATGAACAGGTCGAATCGGGGGGCGATTACGCCGCGGGTTCAACAGCGATGCGCCGCGTCTGTCTATCCTTGGGTGGAAAGCGCTACTAGGGGCAAGCGCGGAAGAAGTACCTAGCCCACCGTTGATAGGAGGCACCGGGCAACCTAGGGCTTGGGTTAGAAGGTCTCGCTTTCCTTCTAGAGAAATGTCTTGAAAACCTCCTTTTCGTGCCCCGTTTACCGCGCTCCCGCCAGGTGCTGTCTATAATCCCTATCAAATGTCCCCTCGATCGAGGGGACATTTGATAGGGATTGTAGGCAAGAGACGGCTCAAGTGGGAAGGCAGCTTTGCACTTGCATCCAGGGATGGAACTGTCTGCACCATCCAATAATCAGGCGTCGTTTGCTCTTTTTCTTACATTTCAGAAATTTCGCAAGAACGCCGAATTTTCTGTCCGCAAGTCAATAAAAAAGAATCAAGGACAGGTTCGAGAGTGAAGGCCACTCCGCTCGACTGTAGACGCTATGGACATGCCGAAAGAAGATGAGAATACTGCCGCAAGTATTAACACGAACCAACCGAGCTTAGGAGGGGCGCAAACCGTACTGTACTATAGTCTTATGAGTTGCGATTTTCCCGTGGTGACGGCTAAGTTACTACCGACAAAGGTTCTGCAAGCCAATCGCAGAAGTGCAGGATAGATTCCAGATAGTCTAGGCCACTCCGCCATGTCTGCACGCTATGGACAGTACATGCCGAAAGAACATGGCAATACTTCCGCAAGCATTAACATGAACCAACCGAGCTTGCACGGCATGGTAAAATCGTCAGACAAAACGGGTAAAAACCACGTACTACTTCTACTACTACTACTGTTGTACGAGTACGTAGGTGCAGTGGGAAAAAAAACGAAAACCATTCCGCCCGACTGTAGACGCTATGGACATAAATTGCGAAGCAAGATCCGAAGCGAAAAGACGATGACACGCGAACAGGAAATCAACGACTACGGACGCAGAGACCGACAAGAGACGGGTGGAGCGCGAGCAACGGGGTGTCCTCCTCAACATGAAAGGGCTCCAAACGAAAAGACCGAAGTCTGGCATGCCATGCCAAAGTCGAAGGTTCGATACTCGACAGCACCACTCGCATGGTGGTAGACACAGCAGGGTGTCACTACGCAAAAGAAGTTTTAGCAGCAATTTCCGCATCAACTTCCGCAGCAACTTGTGCAGCAATTTCTCGGTCGGCCTGTTGCTCCCAAATCCATGCTTCTGTTGCAACTTCCTTTTTCTTTAGCAATGCTGCTTTTTGTGGAGCCTTTGCTTCAGCCCTCGCTTTCTGTCGAAGAGCCCGGTCTTCCGCGACCTTTCTAACCCGTTTTTCCCTGAAGGTTACCCGTTCCTTGAAGTTCGTTTCCCGGGCGTGACGATCACGTAATAAATCGTTGAAATACTTGTGCTGACGACGATCCATCTCCTTAAATCATTCCGGAGGGAACCTTGTATGGATCGTCATACTGGTCAGCAGGACTACTGGTGCTGAAGAAATTACGGGTTATCATTCTTGCCATGAACATGAATGTTCTTGGCTTTCTTCTTTGGCGGCATTGTAATGTGGACGGACAAGGTCTCGAACCGGCATGCCAAGGGGTGTGTGGATGCACGTAGCCGCACTGGTGTGACACACAGAGGACGCAACCTACGTTATGTTTGTTCGCATGCCCCCATCTAGAAGGTCTGTTCTTCCACCCACCATTGGTCGACACCCCACAGCAGTAGCACACATACATATCAGTCAGGCACACACAGCAATAGTCTGTAAGGTTGTTGTTGTGGTCATGTTCGCGCAGACGAAAGAAACCGTTATTGGAGTCGATCTGAGGTAGATTATATAATGTTGGCCGAGACGAACAAACTTCGGGTGGGTTCGCGGACGCTACTGCTGATGTAGACACCGTGCCTACCGTGGGCATCCAACCAAGGAAGTGTGACACATTTCACTTGATTACCGTATGGTTTCTGATCACACATTTGTCACTTGATTAATGGATCGATTTCGATCAGTTTTTTCACTTGATTAATGTATCGATTCCAATCACATTTTTCACGTGATTTAAGTATCGAAATTTCGGACAAGATTTTTTTTTGTTTTTGCGGGATTGTGCTGGCTAAATACTCCAATTTGCAATTGGGGAACAGCAAAGCCCGAGTCTGTTGTCTTCCTGCTGTGCGACACATCTTTTTCCCAAATTGTAACCGTCGGCCCTGGCCACAGGCGAGGAGGCGGAGGCCGCTGGCGAAGCCATGCGTTCCATGAACAGCAGCCGGCTCGGTTGCTGGGCGGGCGGCAACGGATGACTACGGCGAACGTGTGCGCGCAGGAGCCGCCGGCGCTGGCGGACGTGGGTAATGGAAAGACGTTGCAATAGGCGATTCATGTCCGCGGGGAGACTGGGGCACACCCTTGGGGGGACCTACGTTTCGGAGAGGAGATGCGAGGCAGAACGTCAGAAGCGCTTGCCCTTCGATACCCGCTAGGTCAGTACCGACGTTGTTGGCTGAACGAGCCTCGTGAAGGCCAGAGAAAGAAAACACCACGTACTATCTAATAATGATACACCAAACCCAGGACTAAGTCTATCAGAGTATATACTAGAATCCCGACACTAGAATCCGGACACTGCTTTTTCTGCCAAAAAGCCCATGGAGACAACCAATTCAATAACGCGCACCAAGGGTAGCATCGTGCATCCAGTCATCCGGGCCTCCATGAAACACAAGGTCACCCGGGTAAACTCGGAATTCTCAAATCAGCAAGCTTCCGTCCCAAGGCCATTGGCCCCTGCATGCGTACTTGTATCCCAAACGAGGAACTTCGTTGTAGCTGCATGCTTCCGCGAACCACAAAAAATCGTGCAGGCATCTCCCTACCTGCTTCTACGCACCGAAGTCGTCAAAAAAAAAACTATCGTCTTGACCCTCATCCCCCCCTTCCTCCCACCCCCCGGGGTGCTGCGAATCTGCGTACCCCGACGCGAAGATCTCTTCCCCGAAAATCCGGCCCCCGATGTGGGCCTGCTCGAGGGGGAGCTCTCCCTCCCCGTCTCCCAGGATGGGGGGACCTTCTCTCCAGCCGAAGCCGGCGTTGTTCTTCTGTATCTCCCTCGCAATGTCCTCCTGGTTGAGCTCCCTGCTGTTGGCCTCCTTCTGCCCCGTCCAGCGGTTGGTCACGCGGCTCTCGTCGAAGAGCTTGCGGGCGCGGCTCGTCTCCCCGCCCTCAACAACGGTATCCAGGAGAAGCTTGTACTCGTCGATCGTGATGTGCGTGTCCCCGCCCTTCGGGAGGTTGATTCTGTTCGAGGCAGAGCGGGTTGAGTGGGGGGGTAGGGCAGTACACTCGTCTGTATTGTCCCGCGTCTTGCGAACATCAAACCTAGTGTTACAGAGCGCATCGTGGGCCAGCTCTTGTCCTTGAAAGAGTCACTTGCAACACATAAACTTAAGGGGGTGCTGTTTGCGCGGAGAGCAGGGATGGAAGTTAGGGTTGATTAGCCCGGAAAGTAGATTGGTACGTTGAGATCCAGCGTTTAGAACTGGGTTGAGCTGGGGTGGTTAACAACACATGTCAACCAGAATCTTGGCAGACGACGACAAAGTTGTGAATACGCGTGAGGACGCGGTACAGGATTCGGGCAAACCTGTGCCCAGGTTCAACGTGAATATTTCGGCCTCGAACTACAATCTTCTCAATGCAAACACGCATGGACACAATCCTTTCGTGCGAGCCAGGCCCACCAGCAAGCCCATGAACACGTGGCACTTGGGCATTGCCGCGTGATCGAGCAATGAACGCTCACTTTTGTGCGGCGCAAGCCTGGAAAAGATCCGGCAGAGGGATGTCCAGGTCGAACGACAGATCTTCCAGGGAGTCGTCGAGGTAGTTATCCCGAACCTTGTTTGAGACGATGCCAGTCAACCGACCCAAGAGCGAAGAGTAAAAAACGGCGGGCGCAAGGAAGACAACGAAATGATCTTGCGTGTACCTCACTGAATCTCCAAGGAAAGAAGAATAAATGGGTATTGTGGTAGATCGAGACACACCCATATTAGTAGGCTCCCTCGACAATATGTATGAACTGTCGTGTTCTCTCTGTTTGCTTGCTTCCACTAAACCCTTTAATGCTTGTCTCATGCGTCCTTGTCTCTTGTCTCCCTCTCTCGGTACCCCCCGCCCCTCGCATCTCTGTCTGTCTCTTCCTCTTTCGATTGCCTCTTGCCGACTCTACTTTTGGCTTACATCCGCAGCATCCAAGCCCGTGAGAGCTTCGCAAAGTGCCGCCGCCTGCTCCGCGTCGATCATATCCCCCAGCCGACGGTCTTGATTGATCGGCAGGGTAACTCCCCACCTTCGGTAAACACAACAGAAATACAACAGCAATATCGAGAAGGGGGGGGTGCGAAACCGTCCACGTGGCTTAAATGGCCCCATCGTGTTTGGTGTCTATGAGGCCAAATAATCGCCTCGCCAAGCTGAGTTACAGCTGCACTTGGCTTGTGTTTCCGTGCCCGATTTTTTCTCAGCCATGGCGAAGAGTCTCTGTAACGATGACGTCCTTTGCCATTCGTAACACCTCTTGAGAGGAAAACGGGTTGGTTCCTTGTGGAATCGTATATACCTGCAGAGCATGTCGAGGAAGAATTCCACCGGGAAACCATATTCGAATACCGCGTTGTTGATGGAGGTATCCATGAGACTGCCCGTGTCCTGCGCATTCTCGCCGCCAGCCTTGCCCTCGAAAAGCATGTCCCCAAATGGCACGTCGTTGTAGTAGAGTTCCTGCCATCCGCGTGCGGTGGGCATTGTTTATTGTTGGAAAGGTCGAACGGAGCAGAATCCACGAAATTGGGAAACATGCCAGGAACATCGGAAATGTCGAACAGAACACCCCTTTGATTCTCTCCCAGCCCCCTCTCAAAGTGTGCAGCGGTTTCGACGTCGAACCCATCGTCTGGAACTCCTCGTGACTTCAAAAGCTTTCGTGTGTCGGGGTTAAGGTGAAGCTGGCAGCTACATTGCGCCCTACTACCAAACAAGGACAAAAACCTCCCACAACAGCAATAACAACATAGCCCGTTCGGCACACCCTCAAATTTCGAAGCTCTTCATTAACAAACAAAATGTGTAACTGACGTACGATTTACCTCTTCCTTGAGGCGATCCCGTTCTCTCTGAGTGCCGAACGTGTCGTCCTCATCCGGATCGAAGAAGTCGTTCACGGGTTTGCCGTCTTCATCGATGTCTCCCGACTCTTTAAGCATGTCGATCAGGTATTCCGGGATTGGAGAGTCGTCCATCTTCAAGCTGGTTTCACATTTGTATTGTTGTGTGAGGAGGGGGTGGTGGCACGGTGTGGAACACAGGGGCGTCGTTCTATGAGACTAGCTACGGAGGCGCTGGCCCCCTGTATGTCGACGACACGAAACGACGTCAACAAAGCGAGACTACGTGACTGAATACCGCCAAACAAGTTGAGGAATTTACAACGTAAACATACGAACAGGCGGAAGGTCCCATTCTTTCTGGCGATATCAGTAAATTATTGCATGTGGGGTCCTGCAATCCATGCATGTCAACATTGTACGTGCCTGGTGCGACGCGTTCGCAGCTGTGGCATACGGCTTGGACGGCGCAAGGAATCGGTCAGGTCAGCAGCCACGAACGCCTTACAGCAGTTACATCTAGTGAAGCCAACAGCGAGCGCGACGCAGAATTCTAGACCAACACCGCCCTGGTTTTACTACGCTCGCCTGACACTTGTGACTACCATTGTACCAGTGTTGCAGTGGCGAGCCGTAGCGCCTTCGCAGCGTCGAGCTGTGGGCCCTTGAGGCGGTTAGGAGTTGCTGCCCGAGCCAACCAGAACACGCACCAACTTCAACTATGTACACGAACCCCACACTCACCGTGGCATAACCTTCTTTTCCCCTTTCTCGTCGCCCTCCTTCGCTTCCTGTCCAGCTGCTTCCCAGGGATCACGTGGTGCTACCGCTGCTGCAATTGCTGCTCTCGCTCGGGTGTGTTGGGATGGCCGAGCTGAAGCCACCTGAGCCGCTCGAGACCATGGTGTAGCTCTCGCCGCCGCAGAGGTCAAACCGGGGTTCAGAGTGGCAACGGGGTTCCAACCTTGGCTGAACCTCAAGCAGAAGCACGTCGTTGCCGCTGCTGCAAGGGCGCAAGGTCTACACCGACGCATGTTTGGTGGAAAGGAGAGGGAGACAAGCTGCTCTGGAAGCAAACGCGCTAGACTTGAGTTGCAACGGGACTGTCAGTTTCAAAGGGGGGGACGCAAATGGGATATGGACACCATCCAACTGGCGTCTTCACTCCGCCTTCCTTCTCCTCGAACATACAGGAGGCAGGTCTCGTCCACCCCTGCGTCTCTCGCGTGTCATGGACGTCGCTCTGGAAGATAATAGTTTTCTCCTGTCCGACCTTGATCTTAGTGTGGTCGGGCATCAGGATGGCGAGGACAACTTTCAAAAATCCTCCGTCGTGATAACAGAGCAAGTACGGGCTCTCGAGGCAGCTTTAGCTCGGCACCAGGATGGCCGTCCGGAAGAAGCGGATGATACTGGGGGCGGAGCGGGGATCGTGAATGTTGCGATAGCACGCGGAATGCCGAGACCAGACGGGAACACCGATGATTCAACCTCGAGGTACTGAATATCAGCGTATATCCATTTCGTCTGTCAATCGGTGTTGAGCTGCTGCTGGTAGCACAGCAGTAGCGCAACCACTGCAATCTTAAGCTTCATATTGCCAATCTACAGTCGACCCCGCTTTAAGGACGCACATGGTTTTTCCCGAAAAAAAGCGTCCTTAAAGCGGGGTTGCGTCCTTAAGATTCAGGGGACGATACCTCATCATCCCCGGGATCAAGGGAGGCATGCTATACCTCAAACTACGCGTCTTTTGCTAAGGAGGGGGGTGGTACGAAAAGTCAGCATCGCCGAGACGACTGGCAACCGTTTGTTGACGTCGAACATATTTACAAAACTTTAAATGAGGTGTACAGCAGTTGGGGACGTGTTGAAAACAACTATAATACAGTACACCAGTTTGTACTTGGCCAACTAATGTACTGCATAACCGGCAGCGGAAGAAGGAGGAAAGTCCAAGAAGATATATTTGTCTCATTCTTGTGAAACAAAAAAAAGGAGCGTATTTCAGCGTCGCGCCGAGGAACACCAGTACATATCACTGTCCNTTAAATGAGGTGTACAGCAGTTGGGGACGTGTTGAAAACAACTATAATACAGTACACCAGTTTGTACTTGGCCAACTAATGTACTGCATAACCGGCAGCGGAAGAAGGAGGAAAGTCCAAGAAGATATATTTGTCTCATTCTTGTGAAACAAAAAAAAGGAGCGTATTTCAGCGTCGCGCCGAGGAACACCAGTACATATCACTGTCCCGGCGGAGACCAAAAGCTACCCTGATGGCTTTTCCTTCCACATGTCGCGAAGAGTTCCCTGAACCTCCTCCCGCGGCTTGGCTGTACGGCTCTGTTGAGTTTCATGAGTAAACGAATGAACGGTCTTCGAAAGAAGGTACTGCGTCTCACGGTACTCGCCACCCCTTCCCTTTGCGTTCAAATACAGATAGCGTCCGCAGGTAAGAAAAATTCTGTTAAGAAAAAAGGGCTAAGAAACATAGCTCCATTTCGGCCACAACGTAAGGAACGCCCCAACAAGAAACGTGATGGTGCGATACCCCCATGACATCAGATATCTGCGGTGCTTCCAACCCCCTCCCAAGCTGAACAGAAGTGCATTTTTTTTTGTACGGGGCAGAGTCCCCCCCTCCCCGCCCCCCCGCGCCCCTGCTGTTCACAGTGAGTGAGTGCTGTACTGTCTGTAGTCCTGCCACACATCGCGGACAACCATATGCTCTCCGCTGTTGTACGGGTTTGATGGCACTCTCCACCACCTCTCTTGAGGGCTTGATGATGTGGATTGTCCTCAGAGATCAAAAGACAGAAAAAAGAAAATACGAAGTACTTGTTGTAGTCTACGGAATAAGAGAAATCGGGAGGATGCGACAGTCCAAGGAAGATGAAATGCCATTTACGAAATGGACGACTTGGGCCGGTTCTTCGACTCAAAAGAAGTGATTGGTGAGGCTCGAACCGATTTTGACGTTTCTTAATTGTGGGCGCTATCTGTAGGATCGAACGTCCTCCAAGCGAGAGATAACCTCGCCCTCGGTGAGGGACGAGGTTATGCACGACTCTTTTTTTTGGCGGCATCAGATGGACCGCCGGTAGATGGGAGGAATCTATCCATACCAACACCCAGTTACAGCTGCAGCAGCAGACCGCTCGCTACTTCTGCTGCCTGTGCGTCGCTACTTCTGCACTCACTATGGTGCGTGGTTCGTGCAAAGACCGGCCCGCAGGCCCGCAGGACACAAAAAGGGGGGTACGACCCGCAGAAAAATGGGGGAACCCCCATCATCATATATTCTGCTGGGCCCCCTGTTGCTCAGCAGAACAAGTTTCCTTTACGCGGGGAGTTTCCTTAACGCGAGCGTCCTTAAAGCGGGGTCGACTGTACTGCGTCACACCACACCAGAGCTGCACCGCGCTATTTATTGCGTCCTCACTGCATATCGTGCACACGTAGATCGGCGCAGAGCATAGGAGAGGTTAACCTTTCCCGAAAAGATGAGGTTGTGCGACGATACCAATTGCGCAAAAGGGAAGGACTTGGGTATCTGTACCTGTAGCGCCCTGCGGAGTGCCCTAGAGCAGTGGTTCCTAAACGAAGAGTTTGTGTCTTTTGATGTGCGCACGGCAATGATGCGCCTGCATCTGGGTTGGGAACCTTGCCGTGTAATTGAGGGTTAGGTGTACTGTACACATGGACAGTATTAGGTGTGAGGTCCGCAAGAGGACATCCCATTTACCACACATGGATACACCGTTCACCGCAGAGGTTGATTTTGCAGAGGCTGACCAAGAGCATCAAGTTCCCTTGTGCGCTCTGTGTCTGTGTGTCGTCCCTTTCATTGCTGTTTTGCCCCTTTTGTCCCTACACTCGCTCGCTCGCTGTGCGATTCGTTTTCCTATTTTACCCGTTGTTCTAGGGCTGAGGCACTGAACTTCATGCGCTCCGAACTTCAGCTCCTGTGCATAGAAGCGCATCGGAGACGTAAAGAGGTGAGGAACGCGAAACACCCACGCAAACCTCCTTCTTGTGTGTGGTGCAAGGGAATGTTGATCAGGAACCAGTGTTTTGTGGTGCGTTGAAAAACGTGCAGAAATGGCACGCGGTGTGATACACTGCTTACATGTATGCACGGTTTTCTGCAGTATATTTGTAGAGCACCGCCAACGTAAACCTGGCTCTCACGAGGTGAAACTCCCCACGGCGTTCCGTTTCCTCGTGGCAAAAGGAATACAGTTCTGATATTCGACAGCAACAGCATGCGCGTCACAACGCCCGCACGCTCGCTCCCCCTGCTCCACCCCCATACCCACGCATCCACCCGACCTCGAAAGAGCAAGCCCCTGCTCGACGGACTGGAACTGACGGCCGCACAGAGGCAAACGATGGACAGAGTTCACGCGGCCATCGCCGCGGACTTCGCCCTGCGACGGCTCATGCTGCTTAGGCGCTGTGACGTGACCGTGCGGTCCTTCCTGCGTGACAGCATCAGCGGCGGCAGCGGTGTCGGAGAAAGAAAGCAGGATGGAGGGAGCGCAGGGGGCAAGGGGGAACAAGGAGAGGCACGAGGAGCTGCGGATAGTAGTGGTGGTGGCGACGACGAGAAGTTTGCCGACCTTCCGCCCGCCTTGAGAGTGAGAGACTACCCCTGTATGTTAAGATGGGAAGGATCATTGTATTGGCAGAGCAGTGTGGAGGTCAGGATATGGAGATTCAAGAAGCACAGACGCACGTACACTCCACAGCAGTACAATAATGTTCTCAAGTGTTTGGTACAATGATTGTGTGCGATCGATCACAGTAGCACCCCTGTCGAACGGTTGTTTGAGTTGACGTTGCAAGAAGAAGGTACATGGATGTGATCGTGATGGTTGCCCCCCCACTGGTGACGCTTCGCAATCCTTTGCAGACAAGGCGACAAGCGCTCTTGGACAAGCCTCGGGAAATCACGATAGATGACGCGCTGATCGCCCCGACTTCGGTGGCTCGGCAGCATACCCACAAGACGACAGCAGAAGTGAGTACGTTGTCTTTTTCTTTGTGTTACCATCAACTATTTTGATCTGATTTCGCTCATGCAATCAGCGCTCAAGTCCCGTAAGGGTGACAAGAATATATCCTTTCTCTGTTATACATCTGCCCCCCGCTTTGTTTCCCCCCTCTTTCCATGCCTCCCCACCTGACACTTGTTTCCGCTTTTTGTATTTTAACCCAAAATGAATACGACGGCGACGGTGGCGGCCACGGCGAGCGCTCCACGAAGACAACGAAGGCTGCCTTACCAACCGCCGACATCGGCGAGGTTTCTGATCGTGGCGGGCGCGTGAGCGATGCCCGCGGCGAGGCGGTCTGGAAGACCCGTAAGGAATTCGACAAAGCCGCCGCTGCTGCTGCTCTCTCAGGGAAAAAGGGTGACAGTCGTGGCGGCGGGCGCGGCAGCGGTGGCAAGCGAGGCGAGAAAAAAGGAGGCGGCGGCGGGGGAAGAGGTGCGGGCGAGGAGCAAGGGAAAAAGGAGCGTCGGAACCGTCGTGGCGGCGGCGGGGGGGGCGGGGGAGGGGGGGGGGGGGG